ATGGATATAAAGCTTATACATGCCTCTATCACTGGTAAAAAAATCAGCACGTTTGCTCGAGCCGTAATGGAGATATTCGAATTTCTTATCGCACAGTTATTTATGGACCACCCTGTAGATAATTCTGGTGCGTTTACATCAATACCTTTGACACGAAATATAAAGTTTAGTCTATGTGATTGTTCTTCAAATAAAGTAGAAAAATAATCACGATAACCTGATGGTGTAAAATAAACATTTATAGTTGATAATTTTGATAATTGATTTAATAAAAATAACACATCATTGGGTACCCTAACAAAACATGTTAGTTGTTCAATATTTGAAAAGATTTCACAAAATCTTTTCAATTCATCTAGATTAATGAATGAAGAATAAGTATATGGATATATATTTAATTTTTTAATTATTTCATTTAAATATTTACATAATTCATCATCATTAAATAAAGATTTTAAATTATTTGGACAAATCGTAATCCATGATAATTTTGGTGATTCTTTTAGAATTTTTAATAACTCTTTTGATGATAGCATTTTGTGATGCAGATATATGTTTAAATGTTTTAAATTAGATAAATTAACAATAAATTTCAAATAATAAATATTAATTTGATTCTGATTCTCTTTCCAAATGCGTAATGTTAATGATTCAACGTTTGAAAAATAATATTGATATTGATCTTTTTTGACTTCATTATGTAATGTTAGATCAGTCACTTTATCGAATATATTTGAATTATTTGTTAATTTATTAGAAAATCTTTTAGTATTCGGTCCTAATTCAAAAGTATTCGAGATATAAGGTATTGTATAAATAAATGCAAAATTTTTTTCAAATGAATGTTCAGTATACCATTGATGTTGTTTCAACCAAAAATCATTTTGAAAATGTATACATTTTCTCAAAATAATTTTATTATTAAATCTACAATCACAAGCAAATTTTAATTTGAAAATATTTAAATAAAGTAATGAAGATTGAATTAATTTTTTCCATTTATAAGAATTTATCATATTTATATCATATTTTGTATTTATTGTTAAACTTATTAGATTAGGTATTTGTTTTACAAATATTTTAAAGTCTTTAAAGTTATATTCAAATATACCAATAATCAATTGTTTTAAATGAATACCATTATATTTATTAATAATTGAATCATTTTTTATTGGATGATTATATTGCGAGATACATTGGACATTTAGATATTTTAGCATAGGAAAACATTTGAATAAATCATATAATAAATGTTCTAACGAACAAGTATAAATTGTTAAATTTGTAAGATTTGAAGTATCGCTAAGGCGTGTTTGAATAGAATGTAATGATAGTATTGATAATATTTTTAGATTAGACATTGGAAGACTATCTAGGATTTCACTGTCTTCAAACATATGACAAATCATATGAAGGAGAATAATTGAGATAATAATGGTAATATCGATTTCAATTTTGCTATATTTTGCTATATTTTGCTTTTCAACTTCAGATAATGTTAATGATCGAAGATGAGAAAATTCGTTGAATGAAAATATTGATAAAAATGCTTCGATTTGACCATACGTATCTTTATTTGATAATTTTAATGAATAAATTTTAATTTTAATTTCTGGATTTAATTTCATTTTTACACAAAATTTATCAAATATTGTTTTTTGTATATTTTGACAGTTGAGTTGAAATGAAATATTTCGAATAAGTGTAGAAAAGCGATCATTTAATTGATCAAATGAATAAAATATCTCAAATATATTAAAATATTCGAAACATATAAATAAAATTTCGTTTGGCAAGAGTTCAAATTTCGTGACGCTTTGTATATCACTCATCATTGAATGAATCAAATTTTTTTTTTTGGAGAGGGAGGAGGGTAATACGTGTTTTATCTTTATCTATAATAGAAAGAAACAAAGCAATTATGACTCACAAGATGAAAACAAAGAAATTATTGTGAACATTCGATTCGCTATTCGTGCTTTTGATCAACAAAAAGAATTTTTGTAGCTTTATGTTCAAATACATCTCCTTAGATCGAACAATTCTAAAATATAAAATATTAATAGTAGTGACGATCTTTTGATCATTGATAGATGATATCTCATCTGTATTGAATATTTATTCGTTTTGGCCTTGTACACACTGCACGAATTAAAGTTGAATTAAGAAATGTGATTGGTGCTGTCACATGAAAACACCAATCACATTTCTTAATTCAGCTTTAATTCGCGTAGTGTGTACAAGGCCTTTGACTTAAGAGCCAGTCCACGTAAGCCACGGCCGAAGTTGCTCAATCGATATCATCAGAACTTGCTCAATTTAAGATATATTATAGAGGGAAGAGTTTTATGATTTTTGACGCAAGCCAATTCAAAAAATATTGAACCTTCGATTTTTTATGAGCATTTTACGCAAAGGCCTTAAAATGACCATATATATAAATGGGGGTCCTAATGCAATGATATCTCACGAATGGCTCAACCACATGAGCTGAAATTTTTTATTACCGTATATCACAGTGAATTCCATTTATCATAAAATTTTCGTTTTCAAATATTGAGCCATTGGGATTTTATGAAGCACTCAATATATGGAAAAAGGTCCATTTATGATAAGTTTGGCACTTCATAACTTTTGAT